CAACTTGACAGCACATAACAACAACACATATTTTTAGAATGAATGAATTTCTTATTTCTGCCTTCTTTGGGAATAAATTCTTTTTCTGTCCTCCCCAAAGCAAGGGGAGAAAAGAGAGCTACTCAAGCCATTTTTGCAATCATTTCTAAGAAGTTGTCCACCCATAAAAAGTTGGATTGGCCAAAGGTGTGATAGAAATATGTAGGATACCACCATCTCCCCTCAAAGAAGAGAATGACTGCTAAGGGTGCTTATGGATAAGCAAAAACCTGAGGGGATTTGTTTTCTTGGTGGGGAGGTTTATGATCATGGTCAAATTCTGAACGTTGCAGTAAACTGGTCTAATAACACCAAGTTTAGTGCTTGTAATTTCACCTCCTCATTCTTTGCTTTGTTCCCGGGGTCTCACAATCCTGCAAGTGGCCATCAAGGCACCACAACTTCTGTGGTTGTTGTTATTGTTGTTAAAGAAGGCGTATCAGGAAGAGGCAGCTTCAGAATGTGTTGGTAAATGCTTCCACCAACATCCGCTTCCTTTGCCTTGAGACTAGAAGAACTGGACGATGTCTGGCTATCATTTCTGAACGTTGTGATACGTCATTCTACAGAAGAATCCCACTGAATAACTCTACAGGGCCTCAGTGCGCTACATTGAACGTAGATATTTAGGAGTCACCAGCTATGAATGGAGCCGTCGTGTAAGCCTTGGAAGGCTTTGGGTACTATAAATGTAGCCTTAAAATACTGTTTTGTTAAATGTTTTCTTCCTTCGTCATGTCTCAGTGGCGATTCTCTGATGTGGAAACTTCACAATCTCTCATTTTATGATAGAAGGAGAATCGATACCTTTGAGCTGTGGTGCTGGAGAAGAGTATTGAACATACCATGGACTGTTAGGAAAATGAACAGGTTTGTCCTAGAGAGGGTGAAACCAGGATGCACCTTGGAGGCAAGGATTCTGAGGCTTTGTCTAACATACTTTGGACATGTTGCAAGGAGGGTCTTGTCCTTGGAGAGGGACATCATGCTTGGGAGGGTGGAGGGACAGCGCCGGAGGGGAAGACCCTCTATGAGGTGGATTGATTCAGTGACTGGGGTAATCGGGATGGGAGTGTCGGAGACAGTGCAATTGGCATAGGACAGAGCAGAGTTTAGGGCTATTGTACATAGGGTTGCTATGAGTTGAAAGCGACTTGATGGCACAGAACAACAAGTGTCTGATTTTTAGCTCTATGGGAGAGTAGAGGCTTACAAGTGCACCTGGAGTGGATATATGTAAATATGGGCCATCCTGACCCCTCGAGGCCTGACAGGTATGAAGTTCCTAGTTGCAGGATTGGGATCCACGAACAAAGGGCTGTCCTTACTTCACGCTGCAGCGCTGGGCGATGATGGAGGCCCAGAAGCCCATGATGGAGACGAACATTAGCGTGGTGAGCATGGAGATGCTCACATTGGCCAAAGCCACCACAAAGGCATCAATGAGGCAGTTGTTGGACGGAGGCATGTGTGAGGAGAAGGTGGAAAATATGCCGATGCCGAGGCCCAGGGAAGACAGGAGGTGGGTCCCGCTTTCCAACAAAATAATTATGGAGTCCACAACCGACACCTAAAAAAGGAGAAGAAAAGTATGAATGAGGATCTATCTACGTGGATGAAGGAGGAGAAGAATATCCTAATAGGAGTGTCCTGGGTGGAGAGGAGAGGAGAGGGGAGGGGAGGGGAAGAGAGGAGAGGAGAGGAGAGGAGAGGAGAGGAGAGATGATGGGAATCTGGGACAGGAGGCCCTAACAAGAAACCGCCAGCTACGGAGTGTCCATGGGTTGATGGAGGAGTCGGGAAGGTATATACCTCCTTGAAAACCAACAAATGTTGAAGGCCGAATGATGCACCTTCCAGCAGCGGACTCCGGATCAGGAAACACAAGATGATGAGGTAAGGAAAGAGGACCAAGACGTACATTGCCTGGAGAGTGATGAGGTGGTGTTGGTAAGTTCAGAATGCTCTTACGTATGTTATCAGTTACGGAACTTTAGTTATACAACTATAAACCCTCCACACCACCACCCGCATCAGTTTTCTCCAGCCTGCAAGGCTCCGTGGACTTCTTGGTTTTCTTTCTTTAATCTGTTTACCAGAAGAGGAGAAGCATCCCCCTGGGTCAGCAGTTATCTCTTTGAAGCTGTTTTTTTCCAGTCATATGTAAATTATAACTTCATCTGCCTGTTTGCCAGGAAAAGGAGTACTGAATTAACTCTTTATCTTTCCAGAACCTGGTTTTCTGTTATATGTTAACCTGAATAGACTAATAAATAGGTTGCCTGTTTACTGGTATCTGGGTGTGAATGGTTTTCTTTAAGATGTAGAAACTCATCAATTTTACTACAAAAGTGCATTTTTGGGGTGTTTGGGTTTTTTTTGTTTTGTTTTGTTTTCTGTGTGTGTGTGTGTGTACCATCAAATTGGATCTGACTAGTACAGGAGGAGATTGTTCCTCCTTCACCAGCAGAGCATCTGGTGGATTTGAACCATGTGCCTCTGGGATTGCAGTGCAGCTTCCTGCCACTAGGCCACCAGAGCTCCCCACAAAAGTCCATTGTTAAGTGAGTTGGCAGTCTTTGAGGCCCACTTGCTGTCCTCCCAGATCTGTAATAAAGGGCATATGGATATTGCAATCCATTTGTCTCATTGGCAACTGACTATGGAAAGAACCCCTTGCTTTAAGTTACAAGAGAACATCTTAGCAACCACAGCAGGGAGGGGGCAGCAGCAGAAACCAGAAGTCTTGGGCCAGGGATTGAGAGAGAAGTTAGAAAACAACTTTCCGCAGGGCTCAGAGGGGCTTGCGTGAGTACGAGACTAGAGGTGGTGGTTGTTGTGATGTGCCATTGCGACTCACAGCGACCCTATGTACAACAGCCCTAAACTCTGCTCTGTCCTGTGCCAATCGCACTGTCTCCGACACTCCCATCCCGATTACCCCAGTCACTGAATCAATCCACCTCATAGAGGGTCTTCCCCTCCTGCGCTGTCCCTTCACCCTCCCAAGCATGGTGTCCCTCTCCAAGGACCAGTCTCTCCTTACAACATGTCCAAAGTATGTCAGACGGAGCCCCAGAATCCTTGCCTCCAAGGAGCAGCCCGGTTTAACCCTCTCCAGGGTGAACCTGTTTGTTTTCTTAGCAGCCCATGGTACTCTCAATACTCTTCTCCAGCAGGAGATAAAGAAATTAGGAGACTGATGGATAAGAATCGCATCGGGGCCACAGTAGGGAAGCACGTCAAGGCGGGTGAAGATGCAGACTCACCTTCCCCACAGACTTGATCCCGTTTATCATGATGACACTGGTAAGACACCAAATCAGGAAGAGGGACACCGTGATACCGGGGATTATTGGGCCACCGTCCCCAATCGTGTCAGAAATCTTCAAAGTCTTGCGGTACCAGAAATACATGGTGGGTGTTGTCCGGGCACACTCCGCATCTGGGGAGACCTGGCTTTCAACACACCTGCTCAGCAGGGCGAGACACCCCCACGCACCCTTTCATGATTCTTTACACGGATTCCTTTCTCCTTCTTCCTACTACTCCCCTCTTCCTTATTGCTCTGCACTCACGTCTCCTCCCAGGTCCCTTCTGCCTCTCGTTCAGTTATTCATGCATATTTTATTCCATGTTGCGTGTCAGGGAGTCTGAAGTGACAACAGCTGACCTTCTGGTGGGTTTTTGCACAAATCCCACGGGACTGCCTCGCCTTCTCCCTTGATAGCCTCGAACTGCATACCTTCGGGATTGCAGCGCAGCTTCTTGCCACTAGACTGCGGCCCCCCCCCCCCCCAGAGCTTCCCCCTCCTCCCACCACCTCGCCTCCTCCTCCTCTTCCCTCTCACCAAATGCACTGGAGTTCTTCATGAAGGGGCATTTCTCCCACGGAATGGGGAACCAGAAGGACTGGCTGAAATAGAGGAGACTCCAGCAATTGGCCACGTTGAAGAACAAGCTCACAAGGATGGACACCTGGGGGCCAAGAGGAGGCGGCTGGGGAGGAACAGCGGGGGCAGGAGGCGGGGTGCATGAGAAAGAAGAGGATTTCCCAGAGGGTGAGCGACAGGATGGAACCTGATTGGGGGGAGGGAGGACTTTCCGAGGGAGGGGTTGTGAGGAGGATGGGTGTAAAAGCTGGCTCTGGGCAGCTCAGTTTCTTACCACGAAGCTGGTGTAGCCCAAGCCCGTCGTCCAGGGGCTGGTTAGCTTCCAGACACTCAGGATGCCCTTCTGTAGCCTCTGACCGCACGTCATCTCCATGAACATCAGAGGAACGCCGATCGAGAAGAGCATGAGGACGTAGGAGAGTAAGAAAACCCCTGTGCAGGAGATTGGCGGAGCGCTGCTTGAGAAGCATCTTGCATTTACGGGCCTGGACTTCTCAGGCGTCCAGGGCACTGAAACCATCCTTCCCACCCACTGGTCTCCTGCAGAATCTCAGGCATCAGAGCTCACCTGCATCCAAATTGCCTGCAGGGCTGGGTATCCAGTCCTATGGCCCCCAGTTCCCAGTACACACTTATATCCCCACTACCCCTTATCAGGCCTCTAAACCCACCACTTTATAAATATAGGTTCAGACGCCCTGCACCTCTCCCCTAGGGGCTCAGGCCCCTGGCTCCTGTCCTGCTCAGAGGAGCAAGTCTCCAGCTTCCAGATCACTCAGAGATCTTAGCGTTTGAAGCCTAAACAAACCTCTATCAAGCTTCAGGGGTTGAGGGGGGCAGGGGGCTGAGTTCTGGCCGCAGGCATTAATACCTCCGTTCTGAATCCACAGGTTGGGAAAGTTCCAGAAGCTTATTGACCCCGCAGAGTAGCCCACTTGGGCCAAGATGTACTCAACCTTGTTGGGCCAGAGTGGGCGGGAGGGCTCTTCAATCTTCTCCTTTATCACCAGCTTCTTGACAGAGGAAGGATCTGGTTTCCAAGTGGAAGGGAACCTCTTCTCCGACAGGAAGGTTCTCTTCAGGGTATTGTCCCGGTGCTGACCCGACCAGGCCTGCAGCTTCTCGGCCTGGGCCTCTGAGTAGAAGTTAACTGTGGACCAGTCCTCCGAGCAACCGCATTCAGACATTTGGAGGTCTGAGTCAGCCTTCATGGGTCTGAGCTCCATAAATGAGGAGCTCTCCTCCTGGGGCGAGTCTAAACCCTTGGACTCCTCATTCAGCCCAGGCAGATTGGCTTGAGAAGTTCCCGGTTTTTCAAGGGAGAGCTCATTTCTCTGGGTCGACCTGAAGGACATCAAAAACTGTAGATCTTAAACGTCAGAGTCAAGGTATGACTGCGTCCCACCACAACCCCCAATAACCTTCTAAAAACAGCGTTTCCACCTCTGTCCCCAACACCACTGAAATTCAAACCTGGGGGAGGGAGGGGAATCTCTTCCAAAAGTTTGACTTCTTAGAAAGGCTTTGATCCCAAGAAGAGAAAAAGCACTAGGTAAAGCCTGTAAACCAGGAATCCCACCTGCTGGGGACATTGAAGTATGTTGTTGTTGTTGTTGTTAAGTGTCATACGATTCATAGCAACCCTATGAATGAAAGTCCTGGACACCTCCTGTGTAACTTTCATCCTTTCTCCAGGTTCATAGGCTTTCCAGAGGCAAGCTATTATGGACGTGGATGCCACTCCTGCTTCCAAGCTTGTTTTAATCAGGGAGCTCCACCAAACACTGTCCACCACGGGTGACCATTCTCGCATTTGACTCATCAGTGTCACAGTGTTCGGCTTCACAGCCACCACGAGTTTCCTCTGTACGGCAAGTGGACATACATAAAAGAATGTTTCACCAAAAACAATTAAAGGCAGGCCTGAAGGCCGCGGAGTAGAGTCACCCACCTTTGGGTTGCCTCTGGAAACCCTATGAACCTGGAGAAAGGATGAAAGTTATACAGGTGTCCAGGACTCTCATTCATAGGGTTGCTATGAGTCGCCTACCACTCGACTGCACTTAACAACAACAGCAGAGAAAGAGAGAGAGAAGAGGTAGTTGGCCTAGCGGACAGGAAGTCATGCTCCCTAAAAAGGGGAGGGATATTTATAGTGGGCTTTTGAATCAAAGGAATTTCAAGAAGCCTAACTCTGTCTGGTAACTTTGGGGAAGCTTTATTATCTCTTTTAAGGATCCATTCTCGTTTGCAAAGCATTCAGGTCTGAGCTCCCAGCAAAAGCTCACATTCCCGGCCACTTACCTACCTATCATTCTTTCTATCATACCCTCTTCTCTTAATTTTTTTTTAATGGCATTTTTCACCTCTTGAAACTATCATTTCTTTATTCTCCCCTCGCCCCATCTAACAACATCTCTCTTTCTCCAGCAAGGAGATGGAGCCCCTACCTCTCCTCAGGGTCACTCTTCTTTGTGTTTTCTGGGCTTTCCACTCTCCCATCCATTGTCAGCTCCTCAACTCTCCTCAAGAGAACTGGGAAGGAATGTGCTGGAAAAGAAGAGAAGCGGGGGGAATGGTGTGGAAGATGGAAAAGGGGGAGAAATCGCGTTTTCGTTCAGAGAGGGGAGGGGTATGCTATCCAAAGGGTAAGGCAAAGCTGGCACGTGGAGGGCCCAGGGAGCCACACATGTGAGAACACATTGCTTGCAGAGTGTTCTAAACGGCACAGGAAAATACCTGTAATACAATCATAGGTTAAACAAATACAGCTAGCATGAAGTACTCTTATCTATAATTCTCTACTTGTTGTTGTTATGTGCCATGGAGTCGCTTGCCACTCATAGCGGTTCATGAGCCCTAAACCCTGCTCTATCCTGTGCCAACCTTATTGTCTCTGACACACCTACACCTCCACAACTACCGTCACTGAATCAATCCATCTCATCGAGGGTCTTCCTCTACTGCGCTGTCCCTCCACCCTCCCAAACATGATACTGCTCTCCAAGGACCTTGCAACATGTCCAAAGTATGTCAGATGAAGCTTCAGAATCCTTGCCTCCAAGGAGCAGCCTAGTTTCACCTTCTCCAGGATGAACTTGTTTGTTCTTCTAGCAGTCTGTGGTATATTCAACACTCTTCTCCAACACCACAGCTCAAAGGGATCAATTATCTTTCTAACATCCCTAGTCACTGTCCAAGCTCTCTGACACATAGCATGCAATTGCGAAGACTATGGTCTGGATCAGGTGCACCTTAGTCTCCAGACTGACATTGTTGCTCTTCAGTACTCTGGAGAGGTCCCTGACAGCTGACTTCCCCAATGCAATTTGTCTCTTGATTTCCTGGCTGCTGGTGTCAAGAGTGTTGATTGTGGAGCCAAGCATGAAGGGTGTTGTTTTTTTCCCCCTTCACACACAGAAGACATGAGACTCTCCAATTTGATAGTTTGCTGATTAAATTGTAAAACATATTTGAGCTAATCCAAAGGTTTATTGTTAAAAAATCCCCTTTGGCGAGCTCTGGTGGCCTAGTGGCAGGAAATTGCACTGCAATCCCTGAGGTGCAGGGTTCAAATCCACCAGATGCTCTGCTGAAGAAGGAGGAACAATAGCTTCCTGTACCAGTCAGATCCAATTTGATGGTACACACATAAAAAGAATAAATAAATAAATTTAAAAAGAATCCTAAGGAGCTGCCTTTATTATTTTTTAAATCCATTTATTTGCATGACAGTTTACAAATCATACAGGGTTTTCATTCAGTTCGTTCATAGACATTTTGGTTTCGAACGTCAGTTACAATTGATTAACGTAATTCATGGCAATGTCTAGGGAGCTTTGATGGCCTAGTGGCAAACAGCTATGCTACAGTCCCAAAGGCAAGCGGTTCGAGGCCACCAGCTGCCCCACGGGAGAAGGATGGGAAGTCTCCTCCTGTGCAAGTAACTGCTTCTGAAAACCTGCTGGAGGGTCAGCTGGAACATTAAGGCAGTTCCAACTTGATAGTACAAAACAACAACAAATGACAATGTTTAACCAAATCAATAATGCCTCCCCCTTCTGAACTAGTCTCTCAAGGTTACTTGTCTTTAGAGGCAAACGGTCTCTGAGCAATCATCTATAGCTCCCTAAAGATTTGGCCCCCGGGACTCTCCCCTGGAGACAGCTCTCTGAATTTTACATCCAACCCCCTAAACTGAGAAAAGAAATTTGTTTCTTGAAACTACTCTTCGGCACTGGTTCCAAGTCCTCTTCATTTTTTTTTTATTTTAAGAATTTTTTTAAATATAATTTTTTTACAGAGGTTTTGGATTTCCATTCATTCATTGCCACAATTT